ATGGGAGCAGGTATGGTAAAGGGGCACAGTCTATCTCATTCTGTTTGATGCAATCCTGGATCCAGATAGGTTTGATGATGTTGTTCGTGGCGCGTTTCTCGAGTGATGCAACTTTAATCAGTCTCTTGTCCGCTACGATGACGAGGTCTTTGTCCATCGAATCGCGCTGCACAATCTTACCACCGTTGGCTTTGACCAGTGCTTCTAGATCGGGTTTCGACTTCTTCGTTGGGTGAATTTGCTCAGTCATTACGAAAAAGCTCAGGCCCTCAAATACCTTCGATGCTGGACCCGCGTATGGTGTAGCAACGGTATCGTTACCTACCACAGTGAGTGGCTTCTTCGATATTCTCGCCTTCTTCCTGCGTGATTGCTCAATCTTGAATTCTTTCTCCTTTTCCGACTTCTCAGTTTCAGCTCTGCTCTTCACTTCCAGAAACTCCTGTACCGACAGTGCCTGATCCCAGCGTTTGTCCTTTTTGAGCCCCTTGAAGCGAGGAAAGCGAAGCGTTAAAGAGAAGCGAAACTTGTCGGTGCCTTCCACACTTGCTGCCTTGCATTCCAGAACGACAGAATCTCTGGGTCTGATCCATTGATCTGGTCGCTCGTGTTGCCGATTCTGCTCATGACCGCCTAGCTCAATGAATGGAGGTGGCCGTCGAGGATCCCAATTATGCCACTTGCCTTCCGTTCGGCCCCGTATGTCAGCATAGTCTTGTTGAGCAAATCCGCCTCCAACTTTGAAGAATGACCAACAATGTTCGTACTTCAGGTCGCCTTTCTTTGCATCTTTGTTCGTAAGCAGTGCGCAAAGAAAGGATGAGTGAGCGCCACCACGATGTCCAGACCCAAAGTACCCGCCGACAACTATGCAGTCGAGCGACTCGCCGAATTCAGACATGTATTCTGGCTTAACTTTCATCCAATCGTTGTTGCGTTGATTCAGCCGATACATAGAACGTGGGTTCTTCAGGACCAGACCTTCCGAAGAATCAGCAACAACCTTCCGTAGTGCTGGTTCAATCTCTGTATGCGAGCGCGCCTCGGTGTACGGGTGGATCTCCAGACGACGATGTACGCCCTTGACAGCACTTTCCAGAGCGCGACGGCGATCGCGTAGCGTGTATTGTGTGAGTAGCTTGTCGTTTAGGAATACGCAGTCAAAAACCCTGAAGACCGGTCGCTGACCAGTGTTCTTGTCCGTTTTGTTTTCTTTCTCGGATATAGCTGCCGTCTTGAGAGTTCCAAACCCAACAATGTGATCGCGGTCCATATCCCAGGTGATCATCTCGCCATCAAGGATGATGTTCCGCACATTCTTGCCAAAGGCGTCTGTTATGAACCGTGTGAGTGCACCAGCTTCGTCGCCTTGGAAGTGTTTACCGTAGAGGTACGCATAGTCTTTGGCCTTTCGCGACCAGAACCCAAAAGTTCTACCGCCTGGCGCGTCAGGATCCTCAACCATGTGAAGCTGCATACGTTCTCCATCAAGCTTCTCTTCAATCCAAAAGGTATCGTCATCGGTGTTCCCTTGAAATCTTGTGACCAGCTTCTCAAAGTTACCTACCTTATCCTGAAACTGAGCCAATTGTGGCTGGAAGCATTGCATCAAGCTCAGCCCAGTGTCTTCGCCTGCCAGACGGACCTCAGGGTCAAATAGTTCCCAGCACACTCTTCGAAGGTTTGAAGAGATGTTGAATAACGTCTCTGCATCTGGATGCCAGATGTCTAGAATGGTCTTCTCAGTAGCCCCAATCTTCATCTGGCGAAGGACCATGCGAATGAGCCAGGTCATCTCCTCAGCGTTCATCCTTCGATAGAACCGTTGGAAGATCTTGACTTGCTCTTCTTCGGCGCCAATCTGTGATAGCTTATCCAGAGCGTTGTTGACCTCTGCGATACTCATGTCGCTGTATTCGGTCTTGAGTTGCCGGGTTGACAAGATCTCGTAGCATCGTCCAGCGAAGTCGCCGGCAGTTGATGCCGAAGCCTTGTTCAGCTGACCAGGTAGCTTCCAGTTCAGCATATGTTTGGCACCGTCAGAGTTGGGGTCGATCCTCGTAAGTTTGATCAAGACCTTGGCAATTGTCTTCTCTTTCAGACCGTACATGGCTCGATCTCTGTCCTTTTCCGGAATTATGAGACGCATTGCGGGAAAGAAGTCATTGCCCACTTGCTTGCGCCAACTCGAAATGAATCTTTCGATGATGTTACGTTTCGCTTCATGAGGTGACATGTTAGAGTGTCCATGTGGTCCGACTCTTCGCCGAGCTCCCACAGGCTGCTTCCTTTTTTGTGTTTCCATAAGCGGATTGAATAGTTCCGTGAATAGAGTATGGAAGGGAAGTGTTTTGTGGAGGTTTATCGGCCGTGTTGGGTACTTGTCGTCGAGCTCATTATCATGGCTGTACATGAGCTTGTTCTCCCTAACCGCCTCGGCATCGGCCATTGGTGTATCTTCGGCCATTTTGAGTGCATTGGATGAGTAGTGTAGCTCTTGCGACAATTGTTGTATATGAGAACGAGGTCGTGGCTGCCTGGAGAAGCGCGTCACGCGTGATCACGTGGCTGTCAGACTACAAGAAGCTAGCGTAATTCCCAAGCCATCACCCATGCCTTGTGGGTACACACGCCGTGTCATTCACAGGGCTGACGATACTAATCTTGGAAACCCGACATTACGACTCCACACCACTCGTTTTCTATTCAGTCTTTCGTTACTTTGCTTTCATGTTGCGCAGAAATACCCTCTGTATGCGCACTATTCTCCCCTAATTCTCCGTATACGTCATTATTGCTCACCGTCCAATGGACCGCTAAATGAGCTCTGCACGCAACCAGGGCTGGGTCCCGCAGACGGCCGGCGACACCCAACACAATGTACGCGACGCTGCACTGCGAGGCGCAGCGAAAGCCTTCTCCAAATCTCCCGCCAAGTCAAAGCCTTTGGTAAACACATATACTGGAGGAGACAATGGGGCTTTGCTGGCTGCAACCAAAGTCGGAACTGGCAGCCCGGCATCCTTGCGAAGCCACCACACTGGCGGATCTGTGGGTGTCAGCAAGCCGAACCTGTCCAAGTCGAACAGCTCCAACTCGCTGAGCGTGCCTGACGACCACCCCGACCGCGTCTCCTCGCCTTCAAATATCGCTGCTCGGCTTGCGGCAGCTCGACACAGCCCTCTGCGGCCTCTACCCCAGGCCGCTGTTCCGCCCACCATGAGCGAACACCAACCAAACGAGAGGGATGTACTGCCTCCCTCGGGCAGCGTAGGGAATGTGCTTGCGAGGCTCGAATCTAAGAACCCCAGCCAGCAGCCGCGCAAGAGGAGAGGCAGCCTCGAATCGCATTCAGCTGTCAGTAGTGCCCGACAGCCAGAATCACCACACAAGCCTACCGATGACACCCCTATACCGCCAACGAACTCGCTCGTCAGGATGTTTGAGCAAGCGCGACCTAGGACGCCTACCAAACCCTCTGCACCGATACGTGTCACTCAGAACTCTCCACCCCCTGTGCGGTCGCCGAAGCCGCAGCGTGCATTCAAGTTACCTCCCGAGCCGAAAGATGACGCACCCCTGCAGAGAGTCAGGACGCAGACACCACCACCTGTGAAGCCAAAGCCGAAGCACAAGATCACGCTGCCGCCACAACATGTCGACGGCAGTAGCGAGCAAGCATACTTCAATACACCCAAGAACGATCCCCTGAAATCTCCTCCGATCAGGCAAAAACCGGTGCAGCTGGCGACAATCAACACATCGGTTTCTCCGCCTTCGAAGCCCCCGCAGAGGTTTTCTCGGCAAACACGGCCAAAGTCTGAGGACACAACGCAGTCCAAGTCCTTACAACGGCGCAGAGTGTCCGCGTCTATAGAGAGTCAACAGTCACCGTCAACACCTTCTTCCTTCAAGTCAGCAAAAGAAGAGCAGGAAGATGAGAAGCTCAAACCTGCTCTGCCTCCGCCGCGGCGATCGACTGCGCGAAAAGCAGATCCCGTACCGGCTACCAGCAAACTTCAGCCTTCGGCCCCAATACAAATCAAACCTCGGACCCAAAGTCAGAACCCAGCTTCGATGCCTCCGCTGCAGAGGCTCTCGCCTCCTCGTCGGCCAACGTCAACCAGTGGATCAGGTTCACCTTCAGTATATCATAATAACTACCAGAGGGAGTCTGTCAAGCAGATTACACAACACATGACTGGCGAATCTCTGTCGAGCGCCATAATGGGCGCCGCTCTAGCCTCGCATTCTCGCAACGTTTCGCCCGCACCTCGACCTATGTCAGTCGAACCTCTTTTCCCGCCGCGCAAACAGCACCACCATCACTCCCCGTTCCATCGATCGCCCTCACCGCCTAAACAATCACCTCCGAAGAGCGCTGGGAAGATGCGGACCACAATGCGCAAAGAACCGTCGTCGTCCGATGAGGAAGACAACAAGGTCGACAAGTACAAGAAAAAGGGGACACGCATTATGGGCATCAAGGGACGGAAGCACCCAAATAAACATCACGAGGGCACGCGAAAGCGTTGGCGCGATCAGATAACCGAACGGGAGCGGAAGCGTTACGAAGGTCTGTGGGCAGCGAACAAGGGTCATCACATACCATCGCCTGCTAACGCGCCGCCTGACGATGACCCATCGGCTGATGTGTTGAATCTTCTGGTCAAAGAGATCTGGACGAGGAGTCGACTGCCTACGCATGTTTTAGAAGAAGTTTGGGATCTTGTAGACAGCAGAGGTGTTGGCAGACTAAGCAGGTACGAGTTCGTGGTAGGTCTATGGTTGATTGACCAAAGACTCAAAGGACGAAAGTTACCGGTCAAGGTCAGTGATAGTGTGTGGCAGAGCGCCAGGGGCGTCAACATTAAAGTCAAGATCCGGAATTAGTAGGAGCGGAGTCAAAGGAGCATTGCTTCGGCGTTGGATTTGTCTGTTACTGTAGATCCTAGAGATACCCATAATCGTAGTAAAGTTTCCCTTTGTTACAAGAAGCATCAGTCGTCTCCGCCTCTAATTCCATCATCCGCATTACCTTGCATGCTCAGTAATCCGGTGCTCCTTACAAAATTTGCGGTACTCCAGAATCCGCCGCTGAATTCGAGGTCATACCAATAGTTTACCGCGCAGCAGATTCCTTCTTCGTTGCAGCTCTGGCTTACCTTGTGGTACCATAGTGCCGGCAAGTATAGCATATCGCCTTCTTCTAGTGTTACTCTGAGTGGTTGCGAGTATTGAGAGTAGGGCGTAGTGTTGATGGTGCGCTGGTCAGGATCCCATGTTGCGAAAGGTACGTATTCCTCCGGCTCATCTACCTTGATCACCATATCTTTTTTTTCGAACGTGTCAGAAGGCGAATCTCCGTTGCGCTTCAGAGTATACGTAGAAGCCAGGACACTCTTCTCATTGACACAAGCCGCTTCCACGGGTGGTAAGAGAACAAAATGCTTTTGACCCAGGATCTGAACGTAGATATTCTCGTAGTTATCCTTGTGTAGGGCAGTCGTCGAGTAGGAATTTCCGAGCCAGAAGTTGATTGCGTCAGGTTCCTGCTCTAGTGCTATTCGCGCAAAAGGTATGCTTTTGGGCACATCGGCGAAAAGCGTGGAGTACTCATTGCGGAGATTGTCGTTCTGGGTTTGCGCATAGTGTGTTGGGCCTTTATAGTCTTCCTCCCGCTCTTGCCGTTGAATCTTCTCTAGAACTTCTTGGAAGGGTCCCTCGGTCTCATATGGCTTGACGAACACTGAGCCACCTAATGGTAGCGAGACGACTGAGTCGGCGTTCCCGTGAGGTGTGATTGCTACGTTGACATTTTGACCACGCATGACATCTTTCAGGTATGCTGAATTCCATGTCTTTCTTGCTTTGAAGTCTCTAGCTCCGTTCCGGACAACAAATGGCCGGTTACGCGCGACATGGCGCATGAATTGTAATGGTGATGGTTCGGAGGGGAGCGTGTCGATCGTTGATGGATTGAGGTCATGGTAGGACGTTATCAAGTCTGTATAGAAATGTCGATATTAGTCATGCACAAGGACCCTAGCAAACTTGAAGAAGTACTCCAAGTCCGTATGACGGCTACAACACTTAAGAATGGAAAGATGAAAGATAATGTAGGATCAATCGAACAGTTCATCCACACGGTTTATGCGCAAGCTTCTCAAAAGAGTTGGAGGATATTCGAGGAGAGAACTTTGCATGCGAGTGAAAGTATGTAGGAAAGAAGGAAGCACCTCTTACAGCATCTTGCAAGACCCCTCTATCCTCCAGTCCGGTTGGTGCAGGCCTAAGGAGATGATCAGCACGGGACAGCGTGACCACCTTGTACGCTTACCGCAATGTAGCCTGCTCTGAGCTCTTTAGTCCCAATACTTCATCGTGAACATGAACCATGTTTGCGCGTTCAGGTACTAGTCAGGCAAAGTTCGTGAAGTGGGATACTTATCGGTGTTAAGATTTTAGCGTCGGAGATACCACATTATCGTGCGTTCCGCACTCAGTCGTTCTTTCACTTTCATGATGCTCTAGCCATAACGACTCCGCATCGGCACTGCGAGCGTTTCCAGGCACATAGTCATAAGAACAAATATGCTAGAGCGATAACAAAGCTTAGGATTTGATTGTAATGCCGCCACCATGGACCGTTACCTCAACCACCATCTTAGGGAGCTTGGCCGTAAGTCTTTTCGGGCACTACTTTCAGAGTCACTTACTAACATATCCGCAGGTAGCGCGCTCATTGTCACGAAAGGCTTCTTCATTATACACGCATTCTCCTCCTACATCGGCGGCGTAGGCGCTACTAGCGGAATCTCGATGACTCCTACAATTTCTTACGATTACCGATCTCAACCGTATATTCTTTACTCCTCGCTCCACCGCCGTATGCGTAACCTGCACGTTGGCGATGTCATAACTTACACCCACCCTATCTTGCCGCAACTGAGCGGGTGTAAGCGCATCATCGGAATGCCAGGCGACTTCGTCAGCGTAGTCACGCCTGGGCGCCGTGACTCTGATTTGAGTGCAGTAGATGTCGAAGGCAAATGGGCGAGCGTGAGAGAAGAACTGATAAGGGTACCTGAGGGACATTGCTGGATACAAGGAGATAATCTGGAATGGAGCCGGGATAGTAGATCGTTTGGGCCATTGCCATTGGGGTTGGTCAAGGCGAAAGTGCTGGCTGTTATACTGCCGTTTAAGGATGCCAAATGGCTTGGAAGTGAGCGTGATGTCATAGACCCGCAAGAGGGTGAAAGAGAGTGGGTGATGAAGTAAAGGATTGGATGGCATTGAAGTCACAACAGATTCGATCCAGGCTCTGCGACGGCTTCCAAGATCCCCCTTTGCTTGATTGGAGGATGATGATGTTCGAGCTTACGTTTACGTGAAGCTACGTCGCAGTCCATCAGGGTCTTTATAACCTGCGTAGCCGATAAACAACACGAAGATGTGAAATTTGTCACCATTTCAGAATCTGCACACTACCAGATGGCGTATGTTCAACACAAAAAACTGTAATTGTTACAATGATCCTGGTGACAATACTCTCATGAAAACCGTCAAGGTGAGTGTCAGGAGAAGAATCTCCTCACTACCAAGGCGTAGTGCCGCGCGACGGGCACGGGCTATCATGTTTGGATCGATTCCACCCGAGAACAACACGGTGCTAAAGTTGGTCGACGCAGAGAAGTTTTGTGCAAGAGGAGTGTCGTGCGCTACTCGAAGGTCCATTTCTTCATCATATCCCCGAGGTCTCATAAAAGCTCCTGGAACAAGCCTGCTAGCTGCTAGCAGGCCTGAATATCTACGAGTTTCTACGTTTACTCTCTGGGCGATGATAGATTCTGCAGCGCGGATTGGAGCGGCCGAATCTGATGATCGATTCGCCGGTGCGGCGTATAGCTCACAGCGGCAGTTTGGGGAAGTGCGATTTTGGCGCGCAGTAATAGAAAGCCAGGCGACAAGGCACACTGTATGGAACGTATGGCCGCATGCACCAGCTAATTGTACCACATCTCTAACAAGGTGTTCCGTACAGATTGAACAATCTGAGCCTTCAGATTGAGCGCTTACGGGCACGACACCGACCATGAACAATTCGCCCTGGCTGCGAAGAGCGGGCATGCTAACTGCTGGTATCATGCTGGGCTCTTGAAAGTCTACTGACGTTCAGAGGAGCCACTTATCATAGGTCGCTTGCCTTCAGTGTTTTGTAGTGATGATTCTGTTGTCAAGTCCCAATGAGGTCAGGTTATACTAGAGAAGGAAGATAATACGTATACTGTGAAATCTAGTGCGAAGAAGCATCATGTTTAAAGAGATTGTTTCTTTGTGGCTCACTATTGTCACACTTTTATAAGCCAACCTATATTAGAGGCATAGAACAAACATTTCGAATAGCGACGAGACGTTTGAGAGGACTATGGCGTCTCAAATCAATTATGCTAGTAGGCGGAATAATAGCAAAGTGTTGAGTGAAAGCAGTCTAACTTTATCGTTCTCACTAGAGCGACTCGATCTCGCGTGCCAAAAAGCTGGCTTGAACGCTCAAAGAGTATTACGCTCCTGCAGCTAAATGCCCTTCAACAGCTCGCAATCTTCCGTGAATGCCTTCTCAACACACCTACCCCCCAAATGGATCTTGTAGTAATCTAAATACTGTCTGCTGTAACAATCCAAGAGATATCAGTTGTTTCTAGACCGCTCTCCTTCCAACCTCATTGAAATCATAATGGGACGAATCTACTGCGGTGCTTCTGGAGTATCGTCATCAGTGAGTGCAGGTACGAGAGACTGATCCAAAGACATGCTATTCGATATTAGTCTCTCCATATCTGCCTGTTCACGGTTTATACGCTCTAGAACCTCCTCGGCTCGCTGCCTGAATCTTGATCTCGATCCCAAGTTGTCTGCTGAGGCAGGCTGTTGATCTGACGATGTCGCAGGATATGTGCTTACCAGGGATGATGAGATTTCTTCATTGCTGCTTGAAATCCTGGCGGGCGGTTCAGCGGTTGGGCTGTTGCCGGAGTGGCTCGAGAGGGAAGGAAGTAACCGTCCAGGTGCTTGTGTCTCGTTGTTGCGTTCCCTTGTGCTAACATAATCGGCCGACCATATACTAATTCCTGAGCCTATAGCCCTTCGATCAGGGAACTCGCGAGCCGATCGCAAGTCAGGAAACGCTGGATCAGCAAGGTGAGGAATTGCGATTGGTGGTGGCCGCCCAGTTGACAAATCATCCTGTGCTTCACGTGGAAAGTGATTTGGAGCGGGTCGACGCACTACAGTCGTACGCTCTCTAGAGGCATCTGCTGCTTGCAGGTGCCGACCTAGTTGGTCTTGGACCTCACGGAGACGATCCAACAACAAGCTCTGTTCCTGTTGAAGGTCACGAATAGCGCGTTCAGTCGGTGTAAGCTCAGGCTGTGGATTGATGACTCTCGGACGGCCATGGAAATCAGGAAGCCATATAGGGTCATGGTTTCCATTAGCTGTCGTATGTTGAGAACTTGATGCTGAACGTCGTACGGTCTGTGGAGGATCTGCGTCTCTGTTGTTCAGATCTGGTTCCAGTAGTAGAGAGCGGCGCTGTGCGATTGCACGTGCTGCGAGAGTGGCTCGAGACTCACGTGGTTGTACTGATTGTGTGTTCACTGTCGGTGTTGGCGTCCCGGAGGCTCCCAGCGGCGTCGATGGTGTCCCAGAAGGGCCACCAACATTGGAAACGTGGTCCGACGTGTCTGAGTTCGCCCGTCCATTGTCAAGTTGCGAATTTCTGGGAGATTCATTAACCCGCAATGCATCAGTCATAATTTCACTAGCCTGCTGACGGCGAATAGCTCCCCCGTGAGGGAGACTTGATGTCCTTTGGAGAAGACTATCCGCGTCTTCTTGAGCTGGAGGGTCGTTTCTCACATGCTCCAAGGCAACAGTGCGAGGACGCCGGTCTACACGGATGGGTTCGCCCTGCAGTGTTCGACGATTAGTGATATACTGCTGCGGAGTGACAGCCAGGGCTTGTTCAGCACGCTCCTGTTGCTCCACTCCCACCAAACGTCGTTGAATGCCATCATTGACCTGCCTGCGGCGATCGCTATTAGATGGTCGTGTAATAGCAGCTGCTTCTTCGCGGTGGCCGAATGGTTCGTGATCAGGAGAAGATATGGGATGCAATTGGTCACGACCTATCACTGGCAGTTCGACGTTCTGAGGCGGCGCCGTACGCCCAAATCGTGGGTCTGGCTCTGAATGTAGGTGTACGAAGTCAGCGTATGTCTCATATGCAGTTCGCACAGGCATACTTACCATACAGTTCGTGTCGACAGTTCGGGCAAGTACCTCGCTTATGACCCGTACGCGGCGCGCTCTGATCGAACCAACTCTGTACACAGACTGTATGAAACATGTGACCACAAGCCTGGAACTTGACCACATCATCTGAGAGAGGTTCCAGACATATTGTACATTCGGCATCATTGGCAACAGGCTCCGCTGTAGTGTCGACAGCTGTCACCCCTGTCATATAGAACTCAGGTTGGGATCGAAGAGAGGGCATGTTGCTCCGAGGCCGACCAGACTGGGCTGGCTGTTGAGTTGAGTTTAGCGGCGCGACTTGACCAAAGGCTGGTAGCCAAGGACGCTGCAGGTCTATATCCAGCAGTCTAGCTCGTTCTGGACGAAGTACATCTTGTTGCTGTTGTTCGCTCACACGCATGATTCGATCCATGTGCCGTTGGTGCTGTTGGACTCGCCGATGCGGTACAATGATTCCATGTCGCACTCTTGCATCTTCAGGACGCTGCTCTGAGGGTTGCGGCAACGTCTCCGTTTGAGGGCCCTGGTCAGCACTTCCGCGGACATCGTTCGACAACCGTTCTCTGTTAACGAGCACGTGTCCGCTTCCTGGACCATCCGCCAGCCTGATAGTTTGCAGCGAGGCGTTTTGATTAAGGTCGTTTGCAGAAGCCGTCCTCCGAGGTTGGGCTGGCTCGCGCGATTGAGTCCCATCTTGAGAGTGCGAATCAATTCGGTCTGGTGGCTGGCTTGGCGACGACATAGTTACGATCAAGCTGAATTAATTCGAATCGAAAGTGGAGTGTGGTGTATTGTCAGTGTTTGGCGAGAAAAACAACAGTTACGGAGAATTGATGGTGCTGCAAATTCAAGTGAGAGATAGTCGCGTACCGCGTTGTGGTACAAACGCGCCAAGCGACAAATCAAAGAAATGGAAAGTAAGGGAAAGCTTGAGATGCAAGGCGTAGATTGCAAGAGTTGCCTAGCCATAGCACTCGCTAGTTCTATGATGTCAGCTATGTCTTTGCCTATTGTAGACGTCAAAAGAGTGAGCGAAACATACCGTTGTGCGGTCATCATCTCACCATCTACCTTCCATCACCCATACCATGTTGTCTCGATGAACGTTGCAGCTTAAGATATTCATAACTAGTATATTTGCATACTCACAAGACCCGAAAATGAAACTCATGTTCCCATGCCCTGAACGCCATTGAATGCATCCTCCTTCGTATCGATTTTTCTCCTTAATCCCAGCTCTTCTTTTCCACAGACGGTGTACCGAGCACACCAACGCCATCGCCTCTTCTCCTCCTCTTACCCAGAACTTCACTTCCCCAATCAAACATCTGCCATGCCCAGCTTCCAGCTACCATAACGCCACTCACTACGTTGACCAGCCTGACAATCAACCTCCAGAAGCCTCCCGACTCTTCTACCACGGCCAGCATAATCGGCTCGATATCGAATTTAACGAACACACCGGGTACGTAGGTCTCTGGTACTTTGTGAGACTGTGAAGTAACAGCGTATTGGTTGGTCTTGATGGCGTGCGTGGTGTGGAAGATGTTCGAGGCAGGGTGGTCCTGTGTGGACGTGATTGCTTGGAGGAGAGGAATCATCGAAGCGTCGTCGGTGTAGATGGTGGGCACGATAGAGATGTAGTACTGAAACTTGTAGAACTTATCATCCGGTGTTGGTGTTACAGCGATAGTGGAGTCGAGGGGGTTGACGAGAGAGGGATAGTACGGGCCAAAAGACATTTCGCGGATGATATGAGAGAAGTTGAATGCTGTTGAACATTAGTGGCAGTGTCTTCGCGAGCCGTAACTCCTTGTACTCACAGGAATGGTCCAGATGTTCTCCAAACTCCATGTATCCATGGCCTCTCGCCGTGATGTGGAAGTCACCTTGGACCTTGTTTCCGATCAGACTTCCGTAGATACGGCAACTGTCAGTCTGACCGCGCACCCGGGGTGTCTTGCTGAACTTCCTCTTTCGCGCCTTGCCCAACTGCTCGTGGACATCCCAAAGCTCTTCCCATCCAGGTGCCTGCTTGCCGCTTTCTTTGCCCAATTCGTGCGTTCCACTCTCAATGTTCTTGCCAGTCCATTGCGACCATGATGTTGGATCCTTGCGCAGGAGTTCGCCGGCGAGGGTGCGGTCACCAGCAGCGTCTTGCATGTTGACGTGAAGATCAGCGCAGCGCATGGCTACTATCACGTCGAGGTTCAGTTGCATGTCGTGGGATACGCCCTTCTCGACGGCGAACGACTGCGAGGTTGTGCCAGCGAACCAGCGCGATATCTCGGACCAGGAGAGGTAGATGCATGTCAATATAAGCGTTACTGTCCATGCGGAGGAGTTGCGACCTTGGACGAGGTATGTCTTTTTGGTTTTCGCTGTAGATAAGCGTCAGCCGTGAGGTGATATTTAGTACGAAGCATGTTGTCGCGTGGGCCTGAGAGGTCGCATCACTACATGTATCTACATATCGAGACCGTGATGACTCTCGTTGGTCTGGTCCTCTTCCTGCGATCAGTGTGCGAGAGAACACTTACGGAATGCATCGAAACTTGATACGATTCCACCCTTTGCTGGCCCAAACGGGTCCTCCTCGTGCCCATGGTCGCCGTAGCCGTTCATGGTGGGCACTCAAATGTGCAATCGTGGTACTGCAGACCCAATGTCGGTTCAGTGGACTGTTAGGTAGAGGAAAGAAGCGTAGATGGATTAATGAATGACATTGACAGTTGGGGCTAATGCCGCGTCGCGAAAGGCCACCTTTGGGTGCTGCAACGGCCCGTGTCCGTGCCCGCGGAAGAGGCCCGATTTGGAAAACCCCGCCACGTGCTGGTTTCACCCCTCGAGTTTGTCGCATTCAATACTAACCATCAACTAAGCTTGCAAATCATTATGTGTTCATTAATTATACTTCGCTAATCTATGATAAATTCATCGCTATGGGAAATCCATCTCTCAAGCGGTAGTGTCTCCCAAGGCGCTGAACTTGCTGTCCCCGCCCTGGGCCAGGTCTTTATTTTCAACCCCAGCACTGGCTGCAGTCCTCTTGGAGAGGTCGAGCTCTGCCTGCCTAGCAGGGTCGTCTTTTGTACCGATCTCACCAAACTTGGTGTTGCCGCTCATGTTGGGATCTTCCGTCAAGTTGGCGCCCTTGGGCCGAAGGACGCTTGGGTCGACATTCTTTCCAGCAGCAAGACCGGTTGGTGCTATGCCAGCCGCACCTCCTGATGAAGCACCGCTCAGACCCTTGCCTGAGCTCATGATCTTCTCCTCATTCCATCCTTCTTGTGCATCGCGCGCCTCGGCGTTAACAGCGGCATCGAGCTTGGTGGCGTTGGTAGTGTCGGTGGTGTTCGTGGTAGTTGATGAGGATGGCTGCTTGCTTGCTGCAGCCTTAGGGTTGCCCTCGCCAAAGGAGCCAGAGTTCTTCAGAGACTCGCCTGCTAGAGAGTCTGAGGTTACGGTGCCAACACCCTCATTGATAGGGATCTTGGATGCGGGGTCGGTGGTGACCTGAGAGTAGAGAGTCAGTGAGAGTTTCACGGATTTTATAACATGTCACATGAGGTCATGATAAGACCGCAAGGCACAGCATGAAAGCACAAGGGGCAGTGCATACCTTCTGTCCGTGCGAAGCCGACATATTGATGCGATTATAGTTTCTTGAGAGATGGTCGTTGAAATTGAGTGTCGTTCAATCGATTGAAATGAAGAAATTATATTGGTTTGAGTGATGTGGAATAGTTTGGTACCGTGCAAGCCGTCGTATGTATACCTTCAGCCCTCACGCCCCAGTGTACTTGCGTCATGACCTCGTCACATTGAAACATCCCACCTTGCTTCAGCCCTACCAAAACGACCCCGCTCTGGTCGAACGGCCGTAGATCGGAAACCGGCAGAGAATCCACCGTTCGTGTACTAGAATTGGGCATGCATGCATACTGCGGCTGAGATGGCGTCAGGAACGGGTGCTACTCGGCAACGCGCTGCTGCTACGTGTGATGCACGCGAGCACTTGTCATGATCTCGTGTATCTGGCGTCAACATCACATAAAACACACGGGATGCTGGGATTAATCAACACACTCGTCATTCTCACAACATCATAGTACGCACATGTCGAAATGTTGACTTGTTGATTCATTTCATTCATTGATTATCGTAAGACTGCTCTTGCAGTCCAGCTACTAAGCGCAGTGATAGTAGCCATCGTAATCGTGAAAACGCCCATTATGCTTCGGGTATCTTATTACTCCTCCTCGTACAGTACTCTACTGCTTGCCGCTGGGGTCGTTCTTCTGGGGGTATCCGTAATCCTTGCCAGTTGTGTCGGCAAGACCAGAGTGGTCCTTCGCCTCACGAGAGACAGCATCGTTGGGAATGCCGCCAAGTCCATCCTTAGCCTCACGTCCGGCAACACCACCAGCTCCGACAGCGGGGTCGCGGATGGCACCACCACCTGATGAGAAAGAAGCTTCTTGGCGACCGGAGCCAACGTTTACGGTGCTAGCATCGGCGGAGTTGAAGTCTGAGGCGACGGGGGGCTGCTCGGGGAGAGGGAGGTTGGACTGAGCCTCGTTGACAGCTTGGGTGTTACCCTTCATGTCGGTGGTGGTGTTGGAGTAGCCTTGCTGAGAAGAAACCATTTTGAATGTGTTTGTGCTGTATGTATGTCAGTGTGTGAAAAACAGATGCGTGCATGCTGGTGAGTTTCGAGTGTCGCGCCGAAAATGACAACTTCGAACCTCTCCACCACACCATTCGGTGGAATTAAACTTACGTTGTTGGTATGAAGAGGGAGTTGAAGTCGTAGAGAATTTAGATTTGGTGTTGAAAATGTGATAGAAGTTGTGGTTGTGATACTGAAAAGAAATGAATGTTCAGGCGCGTTGGACTTTTATTATGGTAGCGGGGAACTGAAGCCCCACCGGTGACGTCGAGTTGATGTAATTCTCCATCGAAGATTCACGTCAAACTCTGACCAGGCCCTTCTCACATCATCGCAGATCGGGTATGCTTCTGCAAATCTAGTTAGCGCCGTCTATGCTTCGGAACGAGCGAGCCGCAAAGTGTCGCGTGTGGTGTTGGCCGAGTGGAGGCGTACCAGGTACAGTATCCGTGCACTCAATGCCCGCCGTCGGTCAATGCCCGGGCAACAACACAACAGCTTCATGAGTGTTGCAGCTGTAACGCCTTAACAAATTGTAATAATATTGCGCAAAAGTGGATTTATACTATATAATAGCCTGCGAAGACTTTGCGCTAGTCTAAATCTTTTTTTAGGCGGCGGATTATACGCGTTCTGGTGGTTTTAGGTGGAACTGGCTGTGCGACTACCTGGGCTTCCCTAGACACTGTACTATCCTTAACACGCTTTTAACGCTTTGCAGCTGGCGTATAGGATTGTAAAGCCTTGCGCTTACCCTTTTGGGAAAGTTTTATAAGCTTCTTAGTGTTGTTAATAAGCTGCTGGTGTTGTTTCTTAGCCTGTTTTGCAGCGTCCTCTACTAGCTTCTCCTCCTGACGTTTCTTACGCTCTACACGCTTCGCGGCTTTAAGTTGAGCTTCACAATCGCGTGCTGCCTTGTTAATCTCGGCTTGCTGGGCTTTTTGAAGCTTTTCAAGCTCGGCTTGTTGTTGTTGTGCTGCCCGACGATCCTGAGCTTGTTGCATCCTTTTAGGTGACCATATAACAGCTCCCCCGTTATACTTGTTATCCTCATCAAGCTAGAGGGTGTACGAAGTCTTGGGACGGCTCTCTTTGATGGATAGAGCCCTCCTAAGGCCTTGTACCTCGTCGTGAAGGATCTGATTTTGAGCTGAGATGTGGCACAAGCTTCGTTGAAGCTTCTTAACGTCCTTACTGCCCTGATCCTTCACCTTACGGCGTACGATTGACTTGAGCTTGAGCTAATCGCTCCTTGATAGTACTAAGTTGCTGCTCTTAGAATCTGAAGCTTCCTTGGCAAACTTCTAGAGTATAACGTCTGGGTTAGGTGGGTATACTCCGGTGGCTTTAAACGACCTCTAGATGAGTTGAGGTTTAAATACAGACGTCTAGGAGCTCTAGAAGAGCGGGAAGAAGTCTCCTTTAGTTAAATTAAGCAACCCCTGGCTGTCTTAGAGAAATTCTTGCAGCTAAGTTGAGTAAGCGTCTGCTAGGGGTTTAAACATACAAACGTTAAGCAGTTGAAGAGTATGAGTAGCGTGAGGAGGTAGTACAGCTAACAGGATCTTGTGCTTATAGCAATACTTAATAAACTCTATAGTTACATAGGATCTATAGCTGTTAAGGAGTAGTGTCACGGTAACCACTGTGGTTCCCTTGACACCAAACGCGCTACAGAATCTGGGTGCTCGGCTAAGCACCCGGATTCTGCTGATTGGCTAGCTGAGCTAAGCGCTACGCGCACGGCCCCTCGTCAATAACTTTTCACCGCCTGTACATGCTAGTTCTGTTTCCTTACGCAACGTCTTGTATTACACTAGATATCGTACGTAGCTACAGTTAACGCTTCTAGCAAGCTCTTAAACCACGTGCTCGTAGCGTCTTGTGACATAGCGAGAGATTAGATAATTGTCGTGTTGGTGGAGGAACTGGGTAACCTAGCTTTCTAAAACGTCTTTTCTAGCCAAACTAGAAGCAAAGCGTTGTATTATGAGCCTTAACGGTAGCAAACGTTGTTTAGTAAGCGTCTTGCAGTAGTTTCTGAGTTTGATTTTAGTTTGTGGGTGTAGGGATTGATAGGGAAGCCCGCGCAGGCTAGTTACGCCTTAGTGTCTTCGAGCGAGCGTACGTCGATTAATATTGTATCGTCGCGCAACTTCTGTATACGTAAAATGATCTCCTGGCTCGCGCGATTCGATTTCTTCAATCGCTTCTTGAATCGGATCTATATTGGTGGAGTTGTGACGCGTTGAAGGTTTGTTATTGTGGTGGGGTGGCGGGCATTGACCGACGGCGGGCATTGAGTGCACGGATACTGTAGTGTCTCAGGCCTAAGCGACACCAACCTTGGTCAGAACTTCACAACCCTTGTAATGAACGACGACGACGACATCAATCGGCAACCTTGGAAGGATTAAAGTGATTATATATCGCAATTGCAGACAGAGACCCATTGTCAACACAACCATAGCTTAAGCGCAACACGGAGATTTCGATCCAATGAAAAGCCTCAAATTCATAAACCAAACAGGCTCGAGAATGAAAGTAGAGTAGAAGAGAAGTGAGGAGAGTGAAGTTTGGAGCCCCATCTTAAGTTGTTGAATTTCCAAGGATCAACGGCCTGCCCGAGTTTCAAGGATGTTCAGGGTTGTGCGGGTATTCTTCGGCTTGGAAGTATTGTCGAACGTCAGGAAGGCCCTGGTAACGGTCGCTGCTTATGGGATCGAGGCCCAGTTACGCAGAAACCAGTCCTGGAAGCGAGTTACTTGAATGTCTGGGTAAACAGCGTTGAGATAGGCGGGCACCACGAAATCGTAGCGCCCCTCTGCTGTCGCAAGGAGTGGTGCGAGCCGCCTTTGTCCAGCGGTGTCTCCTCCCAATTGAGCCATTGTCATCTGGTACTCAAGGTCTATGTCGTCCGTCAGCATCTGAGTGTGCGTCTGTACAAGGCTGTTTACTTACTCGCGGGGGCTTGGTAATCGATGCTAACCCAGGGTCTGTCTAACAATATCTTAGCAAACCGTCTCTTCGGGCAAGGATGGACTATACTTACTTCTACACGCCCTGATGGTTTCGACCAAAGCATGAACAGTCATGCGCTCACCACACATGCTCATCTCAGAAGGCCATGTAGGCATATCGAGGGCACGAACCACGAATTGTGCCACATCGTACGCAGAGGTTAAGCATATCGATGAGAGATTGTTGGCTGCGTCGTAAATTGGCGCCATGGAAGTCATCTGCCGGGGGTCGGCAATGAACTCCCCCTCGTTACCATACCCGCTGTTGACCCCGAGGCGATGAGATATCATCCCATTCACAGAGAAGCGCTCGTATAGTATGCCACAAACGAAAACCGTATACTGCATATGGCTGCGATAATGATGCAACAAAGCCAAAGCTGAGTTGCGTCCCCGATCGAGCAACGCATTCTGGCCTCGCAAACCTGGCTGGCCTTCAAATTCTGCAGGTGCAAAGCGGCGTACCCTGCACTGTACAGCCGCTTCTATGAGGCGGAGCTGTGGATTGCCCATGACAGTTGAGATGACTGTGTCGACGCCCATTAACGCGTGTTGTAGCGAAGCGGGGTTATTGTAATCCACAGCTTGACAGTTATAGCCGGACGCTATGAGGCTTGTTTGATGCTGATGAGTATCAGTGCGGCTCCTTGTAGTCAAAATATAGTGTATCATTCCCTGAGGCACTTACAGTCCGTGATAGGATAACCAGCTGGTGGCTCGTCGAGTTATTGATCTCCTGGGCGATCAAGAGTGCTAGGCCAGAGGTACCTGCAAACGTAAGAAGGATGTCTGCACGAGTGGTGTTCTTGCTTTTCGAACGGATGCCTTACCTGCTATTGCGACGCGCATATTGCTGGACATTGCTTCCCCAATCTTTGTTCAGTCGAATGAATATTTTGGGGGATGTGGACTTATGACTTCAACTCTGTAACTTCTGTCCCACAGAGCTCAGACGTAAGTCGGGCTTCAATATTGTGCCCATCAACACCCTCATTGTTATGATATAGAGGCCCGTGACTCACAAGGGTGGCACTGGAACAGTGAAGACGGTGAATGAGACGCACAGATCATAGCAGCCGGCCTGAAATGTTCCAATAATGCTGAAAAGCGGCGTTCATTGGGACATCGCTTACAAGGTAGACGTATGTGGAAGTGACGTTACCAATGAACATGTTTTGGAGCGTAAAGTAACAGACGGAAAGCCTGTTGTGTCAAGGAATCTCCTCAAGCCCAGTCTAGTGCTAACATGGTGGGAGAACGACTGCCACCGTCTTCTGTAACGTTCAAGGATGTTCGGAGGTAGGCGTGGCGAGATATGGTGAAGGGCTGAGGGCGGAATTCTTAGCCTCTTAGGACCAGTTGCCTATTTCCAACGCCTCTTCCGCTAGAACGCTGGTCGCCAGCCGATATAAAGGGGCCGATTCGCTGGTCTGGTGTGTATGAACGTTTCATGGCTCGTGGCTGAACATGTGATACAGTGGAAGAGATGGCACACTTGTTACGGACGTGGGACAAATGCCGGAAAGAGAGGAATAGAGGCCTAAGCTCTGCGTCTCGCCAAAGGATCAGAGATGAAATCGATGAAAGAAAGCTCTGGCCTCGACGAATGAAAGCCAGACAGGCATTGAGACCGTGCGTAATGATGTCCTGCGATCATGCAACTAGGAAGTGAGCCCCAGCCAATTGAGGTCCTAGCTTAACGTTCAGTCATGACCCACGTCCCAGTAGTTGAGAGACGGATCGTATCGTACGAAGGAATCCAAAGTCCCGGAATTGTTGCAGCGGAAGCGGAATCTACCTATGAAAGTGGGCCCGTAGGGCTAGCCCTACACAACGATGCGACCGTATCTCTAGCCAAACTGCAGTTTCTCGGTTGTGAAGGCCTCGTGCGAGGTCCTCGGTGTAGTAGCTCGGCTACACGAATGAGAATCTAGCGGCTGGGTAGTGTTGCTCTACAAGGCCATCCAGACCGACAAACCGTTGGTGGCTAGAATCTAGGTAGGGGAAGCCTCCACCAATCGTTCATTGTAGAAGAGGGCCAGGAGGCAGCGGGGAGTTGCCGAGATAGGGAAATGGGGCCAAAACCGGTGAGGCTCAATGGTTGCATAACGCCACAGGAACCAGGTTAAATCTTCATCGCTAAAGGCGCGAGCATTGGATCTCCAGAAGTGCCATACACATCACGTGGATGTATGATAGTAAGCTGTCTGACGAATGCTTTCTGTCGACTTCGGTCCGAGCGAAGCAGTTTACTCATCGCCCTAGGTGCAGACATCGTTGGCATGTATTGTTCAAGGCAGAAAGGGGCCGATAAGTCTTTACGCAAGAGAATTGTGTCTAAGTTACGGATAACGCCGACTCTTACACTAAAACCTTCTGCCTTGTATCGACATCTTCACCGGTGGAGGTGGGGTAACAGGAAAATCGAACAATGAGCGTGGGATTAGACAGAAGTGTATGCAGAAGGTCAGATGCTAAGAAGGACAAGGGAGTACGTGCATCTGCGGGAATAGAGATGGAACGGCAGTTTAGTATTGTACAGTGCATCTTACGGTGAGGGTTGTCGCCAAGGTCGTTAGACTGCAGGCCGGACCTAGATAATTGTTGGATAGCGTGTCGCTGCCTAGATCGTAACCGCAATGATGCGTAGATGGCATCGGAGGTTCCCGATGATAGAGAATTTGTGTGGAGCGTCGATGTGACTGGAATCGTGAGGTGTTTGACTCGTGTTTCGCGGGCACGATCACAAGTGTTAGCACGTCACGTGCCGACGTGTTTCACCGCGTTCTTTTTGAGCACTAGCTGCCTCGGCCAAACGCGCTTGCAAATAGAGCAATTCATCTCATCACGTCTCGTTCACGTGTGCATCTCGCGTAGGAGTAGACGACCTCCGAAGAGGGACCACAATCTACAGCATACGGATGCAACAGCAGGAGGACTATGCTGTGTAACTGATCGTGCCCATACGCGATCCTCGGGCGCGCTCTAAAATAGGGCTGAGAAGACTGGAAAAGCAAAATTTCATAATTGTCGTCCCGCATTCGCGTAGTTCTGCGCAAGGCGCGCCGATGAACCATGAGAAAGACGAACCCGCTCAGAGGATGCACGCGTCCGGATGAGATGCGCTTGGATTGGACATAATTGAGCGTGTTGTTTCTTCAGCCTCAGCATGCTCGTGCATACGTGACGATCTGCAGTATGGATAAAGGCAGATATGAGGCTGGTGTGATTGTGTGCACAGACGACGAGTTCAGGCAAGTGGTATGCACGACATAGGCAAGCGCCCGGCTCGGACCAATCTGATACGTACGCGACTGAAGACGCGCCTCGCACACTACTTTCCTGCCACCATATTGAACGCGTTGTGCTTCCTACTATAATATTCATTCGCATGGTAGACCTTCTTTAATATCACCAAGTTCAATTCCCGACATTCGTTGTTGTCATCTCATCATGTCCGCCTCATCGCCCCTGCCATCGTTCTCGTCACCTGCGTCATCGCGTCTTCCCACTGCTAGACGCGCCAGTTTTAGTGGTCAATTGGCCTTTCTTGTGCATTCGCAGGAAACCGTCGCGAACCACATGCCACCGGATGTTGACAACAAGGCTCTTGCTCGCCAGAAGAGAAGACGCACCAGGTATGCTTCTATCTCATTCAAGTTCTGCCCTTCCATCGCATCCGTGTCGACCCATGTTCAACGCGTTGGTTCGTGCTCAACCTACCATCGGGAACTACTTCGGCCTACCCCGCGGGCAAGCGACACTCCAACACCCCATCAGCGCTGACCACGACATCTTGCAGCAAGGAAGACGAGGACGTCCTAAAATCCGAATACCTCAGGAATCCGAAGCCAGACAAGGCGGCACGTCTCGAAATTGTCCGAAAAGTCGCGCTTGGCGAGAAGGAAGTTCAGGTAAGGCGCCAATATTGCTCCACGTCACGAGTGTGCGCGCCCCTGCTAACATCGCGTCCTAGATTTGGTTTCAAAGTAAGTACTACCGTCTGCTCTACGCGTCGCTGCTGCTTGCTTTTCATCCGCCTTCTATTGGATCGCGCCGATATGTCGCGTGTGGCTTAATGGACGCATGATTTTCGAAACACGTTCTGATCACGCTCTGCTTTAGATAAACGCCAAAACGACCGCCGTCGCTCACGGCCCCTCGAACCATCTTCCACGGCATCGCTGATGTCTTCTTCTTCCACCATGTCGGACCCGCTCACCGAGGACGAGACGGTAGCCATAGCGCACAATATCGATAACGCGCCGGAGCCGAAAGAGTCGGACGAGTGCCCCAAGTCCGACCCACCAGAGCAGCCTGCAACACCAGAACTTACTTCAGACGAAACCATCCCAGAACCGCGCACCATCGACACTGCCATTTCCGCGCTCGATCCAGGAAGCTCCAATGAAGCAGTCGTAGAACCATCGACCGAAGCCCAAAGTACAGAAAATGCATCTGCTGAAGTAAGCAACTCGCAACAGACTGCACCATCCTCACAGGGCACCGCACAACAACGCACATCATGGATATCCAACCGTCGCAGCGCGTCATTCGTCCGATATCTCGAAGACTACACGCCCGAAGTCATCACCTTTCCGAACCCTCCGCAGCCTTCTGTGTCGCCCGACAATGCGACAAAGACCCCTTCCCGACCACTAAAGCGCAAGCATTCCTTTGTACGAATATCAACCAATGAGGACGGCACAGCACGCATCGTCACCGATCTTGACAAAACCCCATCACCCCCTAAATCAAAGAAGACGCCTTCTTCCTTCTCTCGTGCTGCTGCTGGCCTGCGACGGAGCTACAGCGCAGCTGGACTGAACGATCGCCTAGCCGCTGCTGCCCGAGGTGAGCCAAGCCCAAAGGTACCTAGGACAGCATCGAACATAGGAAGGAGTCGAGACTCGCGCGCGTGGGAGTTCTGGTGTGACCCAGAGAGTCGGTCAACAACCAGCTTGATAACACGTGCGGAGCAAGAAGAGAGTGGCAGTGCGGCTGACGCGATTGGCATACTACGCGCGAACCGAAGAATATTAGCACAGAACCAAGCTCGCCAAAACAGTAGCCCCTTGATGGCACGTCACAGCTCACACAAAGTGCAGGGCAGCCCACTCGTTAAAAAGTCCCGTGGTGCTATGCAACGCGCTTCGACCATCAATGGCCGCTTTTCTAATAACGACTATGCCGATTACAAGAAGGATGGCGAGAGCACTGAGTCGGACGAGTTCCCACAAACAGAAAGCGACAAGGAGAACTGGGAGCCTGACGCGCCCAAGTCTGTGCGACGCGATCGCCAGGTCGCCACTACACCTCCTGCTTCCCGTGCAGCTCGTCGGATACTGGGAGAGAACACAGACCTGATGTCACAGACCTCAAGTATCGGTGCAATGCTAGCCAAGGACAAGCAAAAAGGCGGTAAGGGTGTCGTCGACCCAGAGCAAGACGATGAACTGCGGCAGTTTATGCACGGTGACGATGCGAGTGGTCGTTCAAGTATAAACTCTGCAGAAGAGGCGGGATGTGTAGAGGGCCTGCTCAAGCTGAGCCAGGGTCAATGGAGATGATCAGAGTACCTTGGTGTAGCGAATGGCCGCACACATTTCTAACGCAGTTGATGACGGGTTGGCGCAATATCGGTTTCTGGTTCTTTTATCTCCATTGCATTTCAGCGCCACGGCGTTTGTATTGACATGGTCTAGATTAGGGAAAGAGCCTATCATAATGGCAAAGGTGTTTGGGGGTAAAGCTGTCTAGTGTTGCATGTCAACAAGTCAGTATCTTTTGTCAAGCTTCCGCAAGGTCAAGCAACCTTCTGAAATAGAAGCCATATCATTCTTCAGCTCTTGTTCTTCCGTGTTGTGCTTCTTCAGCGTCCAGTATTTGCAGTCAAGTTGGGTGTGGCGCACAAAATGCATCCCTAACCACCATAGCATGGTCAGCCATCTTGGTGCACACGTGCAGTGTTGATGCCATGTCTTGACACTAAGCTTTAACAGAAACCCCCTTCCACGACTAAGTTAAGTCATTACTGAAGTGTCATAGTTGCAACGAAAGCGCGTGTTGGAGAATTTACTAGTTAAGGAACTCTATAGGCCGAAAGCAAGGTCTATGATACGAACGGTGCATACAGTGCGCAGCAGGAAGACCAAAAGGACTAGAGCAAACAGAAAGCAACAACGACTAACAAGAGGCAGACGAGACAGATGCGACGCAGTCACAGATCGTAAGGAGATAAGGGAAATCTACAAAAGAAGCGATAACGAAGAAGAATGGTCGGCAGCTGTGAATCAGCAGTTTTCGTAATCCACCAGCAAACGCATCTCACCCGTTGCTGTTTCGGACCTACATCCAGTACATAGTCCCCTTGAGATGGTCATACTTAGCCTTGGAGTTCGGTCTGAAGCCTGAATTAGCGAGGTTATGGATGGGCGTGTTCCATCTAGTTTCAACGACTGGCCAGATGTAGTCTCTCATTTGCTGCAAAACCTGTTCCCCATCGGCCTTGTCTTCTTGTATCTCTGCTGGCGTCTTCTTGTGGTTTCCAGTGCGCTGAGGACGATTGCGTCGAGCTTCTACATCAGCTTCGACCTGCTGGCGATAGGTCTCGTAGGCGTTGCGTTTAGTGTTGCTGGGGTTGAACCATTCGCGCAAGTAGCAGCGACCCCGCTCCACAAGTCTATCCGCATAATAAGCAGGAGATGCGTAAGACACGCCTGTGGTAGCCCGGACGTATGTATGGCATAGGTTGTGGGTAAGGTCCTCCAGATGAGATATCTCGATGCCCATTTCATTATGTAAAACGAAGTAGTGGGACGATCGCGCAGTCCCCTTGATGGCCTTGTGGGATTGAAGATAGAAGTCTGTGTAGTATGGTGACGTTATGGGGCTTTCCACAAGAAGTCCAGGTTTACAGTTGCCGTTTCCACGCATCTCGTCATCTTTTTGACGGGGGAAGAAACGAGTATTGTGCCGCTTGGTGACGATGACCGCAGTTGTCTTGAATTCGGGAACATGCTTCTTGAACTGTTTGGCTACTCCGATGAACGCATTCTTGGTAGTTGAGAGCTCTTTGGTGATAACTTCGTCGTACTGAGCATCGCTCACACCGTCTCTATAATAGAGGACATTCTCGGGGAAGCGCCGGTGGAGTTGACACCACTCTGATAACCCTTCAATCAGCATGTCCCCGAGACAAGGGATGATCTGTTTAATCAGCAGCTAGCAGAGAAGCTTTGGATTTATGTTTCGTTGAACTTACCTCTTGTTTCGCACTTTGCAACCGCATGTTGCCGCGAAACCTTCCGCCATTGGCCTCCAGAGAGCTGACAATAGCCGCGATCGAAGGCGTACCCTGTAACGCTCCGCTTCCTGGATGAGTGACGTCTGCACCAATTACAATGGTGTTTTTCAGCTGCTCTTCCACGCCTTGCGCTGAGTGATTGATTCCAGCCATCTTCAGATTCGCTTTCATAGCAACATTGGCCATGTATTGTCCGGGGGCAGAGTCGTTGCTCCAATTGAGATTCTTTGGTCTCATCTTATCTTCAGTGACGCAGATCGACTGCAAGATAAAGAAAGTATCTGTAAGAAACTTGAAGCTGGAATAAAGATGCTGATCCTTCGTCTTCAGGAATAATACCACGATGTCGGGTACATCTTCTCGATTTTTTCCCAGGTGACTTTCGAGCATCATTTTTAGGGTGGATTCGGTGTCATCTGATAAAGATAGTACCTCATCGGCCCTTTCAGAGGTTCGTGAAACACCAGTCTCTCTCACTTTTCGATCGAAGTTACGGGTCAACGCCCTCACTGACTCACCATTTCGGTCGACACCTTGTCCAGTGATCAAGAGCCATTCCAGGGATTTGGCATTGCCTCTGAAGAATTGGGTCTCTTTGAGATCCCATCTTCCAGTGTTTTCGTTAACGGTCTTGGTAACAGTTGTCGACGAGTACATAATTGTGGCAGGGTTGAGATGAACGAATGGTATCTGGAGCATTCTAGAATCGAGGCTTATCGGATGGCAGTTTTCCTAGACATCTGTTAGTGTATACAAGTCACGGTAAAAATAGATCATTATACTAGCTGGCCAGTTGTAGTTATCGGGATGTGTCGGAGTCCTTCTTGTTCGATTCGAGATCTTATCTCCCGGGGTTCTCGGCATGCGTTTCGGTGGAAATCGTTTGCAACAAAGTCAGGAATGATCTTCGCATATATCCGATGTGGAAGGATACGTAGATGTTCAGGGGCGAACCATGTAGGTCTACCAGCGGTACCAACATTAACCGCAGGCAAGCCAGGATGTTGCAACACTCGAGCATACTCTGTGACATACGTTAGTAATGTTCTGGAAGATTGAGGGTCTAAGTTACGTCTCTGCTGGTATTCTTGGACTGTAGGTTGAACTGATTGACCCGCAATGATATTGCCATAGACATCCTTGTGTTCCCACAAAAAGATTTGCTCGCTACATGCCTTACCAAAACAACACTAGATAACATGCCCTGAATTGTGGGACCACCAGGCGGCTGAGGGCTCGGGACAGGAGTGATAGGAGTGGACGAAGGACCAGAAGAAGCCGAAGGAGGAGCGGGTGCAGTTTTAACAGAAACAGTGTAGTTTGACATTTGTGGCTGCGGGAATCCAATCGAGAAATTCGTCGCGTTGTCATCTTGAGGATACATAGAAAGCTGTTTTTTTATGAATACATGCAATTGCAGCATCTCCCTCACCCTCACCAGCATTGAAGATCTCATTTGAGAGCGAAGTTTGGTCGTTCTCCGCAGGCTTTGTAGTAGGACAGTCCATTAGGGAATGGTTATTCTTCTTCGTTTTGGTTCCGCCTGCTTTGCACCAGATGCATTTGGAATGCTTGAAGTCGACGTCGATCCTGCGTGCGAAATCAGCGCCGAGTTCGTCTCGTGCTGTGTCCAGACTCATGTTCGGAATCTCAAACATGGTTGCGGTGTTGACAAAGTAGCATGAAGAATTGTAAATGAAGAAGGGTATCAGAAGGAAGTGTTGCGAAGTCTTGAGACTGTGTCCCTGTTTTGAGTAGTCAGGTAGAGTCTCAGTTATGCTCGCTGGTGTCTCAGTCAACAGTGGTCTGCGACAGCCTCATATACACATTGTCTGGCGACTCGTTGGTTGCTCATACTGTAGAACAAGCTGACACAATCATGTTTGGGCCACAACTTTTGAACAACAATGAACACTCCTACCTAAGTTGTGGTGTATCATCGTGACGTAAACCTAGCAAGCTGGTGCTTGAGGCCAGTAAATCGATTCACTTCGCAATCTTACAATTAGTGATGGCCCAGCAATGGACATCCCCCCGTTTGGGAGCGTAACTCACCTTGGCGTTGAGAGATCGCTTGGCAACATGGCGTGTGAGAAACTACGTGAGATGAATAAGGAGTTATTGCAAGTCCAGTATAATGAGACTCCACAACAGGTTGGAAGCAAGAGAAGCAGTTGACACTAGAGAATTAGCGCCGCAGAACGGCCCACGATTTCAGAATCTCACAACATGGAGGAATCAGTTCAGTTCGCTTGCGCTATAAACAGATCGCTAGCCAGCCCACCCCCAGCTTCGGATAGAAAGATCTACAATGTGTACAATCCATGTTGTACAAGACCAAAAAGATGTCTCCAAAGAGACCACTCGTCGGAATGGTCCAGAAATTAGAAGATTACAAGGCGATAAAAGTGACATTAAGTTGTATAGATGGGAAAACCGGGTATATGCAGGAAGAGCCAGAGCAGGTAGTGTGTGGAGTGCATGCAAGTCGTTCAGGTATGGGAGTGAGCAGGAGAAACGCAAGCGGGGGTAGGCGTCTAGTACTACTTGGCGCCTGGTGGTAGCTTGACGTTGTTGGAAAGCCAGGCCTGGTGAATGTTAGTTGATGAAGCTCACGTGGCTTTGAGGAGATTCAAACGTACCAGTCCCTCGAAGATACCCTCTCCTGTTGTCGCGCAGCTGGGCTCGACCTTCCATACGTGGTCTTTGGCGATCTTGTCTAATTGCAGACGGTCTGAGACTTCCTTTGGTCGCATAGCTGTGGGAAGTTAGCGCAATGTCCTCGTTGGCTGACTGTGGTATGTACGCACCTCCGCTGAGATCCTGCTTGTTCGCGAATACCAACAGCAGCGCATCCTTCATTTCTCTATCTTGGATAATCCTTGTGAGTTCCGTCTTGGCCTCGTCGATACGGGCGCGGTCATTGGAGTCGATGACGAAGATGAGACCCTGGGTACCTGTGGTCGCAGTCAGCACACGGATCGATCTGAAGACACGGTAGAGGGTCGGATAAGGCAGGGAGGCCATGCGCGGTGCAGTCGCGTGCACACATGTCAACTCGCCTACCCGGAACGGTGCCCCCACGCGCCAACATACCAGAGAAGTAGTGTCTCCATAGCGGACGGATCTTGTCCTGGCCACCGACATCCCATACGTTGAACTTGGTGTTCTTGTATGTGACGGTCTCGACGTTGAAGCCGACGGTGGGGATGGTGGTTACGTCTTGGTCGAGCTTGAGCTTGTATAGGATAGCTGTGCGAGTTAGCGATGATGGGTGCGATGGCACGTAACGGTGGCAGCATACTGGTCTTTCCAGCGGCGTCGAGACCCAGCATCAACAGGCGCATCTCCTTGGATCCGAAGACCTTGGCCATCATCTTGGATATCGAGGCTCCCATGATGTCGGCTATTCGCTATACTTTGCTGGGATGGGCGTCTAAGGTTCCAACACTTGCGGGTCGTCGTGGAGAGAGTAGGCGGTACGTCGGCGATAGCGAGCTGTAGCTAGTGCGCGATTAGGTGCGGATGATAGGAGTCGGCCGTGTGATGGAGGTGAGGTGAGGTGAGGCTGGTGAGGTTTGTGGGAGAAGAATGTCAAGATGTGCAAGGACGGCAAGGAGAATATCAGTAGCGACTCGGGTCAGGGTCTCGCGTGGGCGCTGGCGTTGTTCTTGAAATGAGGTTTCAAGCTGCTCAGGAGTGAAACCGCAGCAGGCGCGTTGCAGATCCCAGTACAAAAATGTCTGTGCGCGCCCAACGGCTCGATCGTGACGGGTTCATCCTACACGCCAACCACACCACCACCTCTCCTGGTTTTGCCAGACGGAAAAGGGGCGGCACATCTACAGCCTTTGATTGCGAATCTTGGGTTAGATGAAGCAAAGGGACTCCGCATGCCTTACTCGCTGCGTCGGCATGCGTGCAAGCTGCAGGAAATCTGCAGCTAGACATATAGTTTCCTCCAGGGCTCCATGCGGTGTGACTTTGCCGCCGCCGTTCGAATCGCAAAATGCCGGTACACGCAGCCATGCAGGTACGCGGCGCTACTCCTGAGACTGATGAAGCCGTGGGGTCCTCGCCGTTTGCGTCCAACATTGCAGTCGTTCGCCATGCACATTGCCTGCACCGGCCTTTAGTCTCTTCAGTAACCGAGTCAATATCGTCAAGGCCTGAATAGTCGGGCGAAGTAACCCGATATGCCAAGTTTCCTACCTGCTACCACTTGTCCCTCACATCGTCATGGCCTGCCATGCACATCTTCCGTCGTGTTCCACACAATTGCCCAAGCATTACTGAACCCCGTTTGATGTCGGCCCGCGTCCCAATCTTCGGCTACAAGACATGTACAGAGTCGACGCAAATTTGATACCAAAAATCATGACGTGTTACACGTGCGGGAGAAGGGTCCAAAGAAGCATATCAACCGAGCCTGAGGGATTACTGAATCGGGGACGAACCCTGACGCCAAGCCCAAAGGAAATACGAAAAGCACTACGCTCAGCCGGAAAGAACGGTACTACTGAAAAGGAAGGTGATGGCAAGTCTCAGATGATACCTAAGCTGTTTAGTCCTATTTGTGGAATACACCATCTTCCCTTGGACTACTCAATATTTATTTTTTCGTGGGTTATAGTCTCCACTCAGCTATCTCTACGTGTACCTCTACTACTCTACAGCTGTCTACGCCCAATTGATGCATGCAACAACCCCATCATATTGTGAAAACCTCTAAAATCCATCATCGATACCCCTGCTCTTCTCTGCCTGCCGCCTCTCATTGTTGACCGTCCACCACCACTCATGTATCTCCTGACTACACTTCCCTGCCTCCTCATCCCACGGCTTCGGACTTAAGATGTAGTGCACATTCTTGACCTCTTCGTCCCTCCAGATCGCATCATGCACACCTTTTGACCGCAACGTCTTCAGCGCATTGTAGGTATAGGGTAGCGCGACCCATCGGCCGTTGAACAGGTCGCCAAGCAGCGATTGGTCGGCGAAATCGTAGTTTCCCGATGTCTCGTTGGAGAGCTGCTCGAGGATCAAGTTGTAGGTAGCGAGTGAGGGATTTACGACTTGGAGGCCGCCGTTGGGCATACGCAGACCGGCTGTTGAGGGCGCGCCAGTTTTCTGGGCAGCATCGGGGTTGGAGTGTTGGGATGTAAACGCGCAGTTCTCGGGGATCCTGAAACTGCGTCAGTAGTGTCGCGTGCATGTGTTGGTTGGAGAGACATACCAGTCCTTGGGGTAATGTGGCTTCTTGAGCGGATTGCACACGCAGGCATGGCTTGCGGCAAACACCCTGTCGCCCTTGCCACCCATACTCGGTGCATCCAACTCCAAGTCCATCAGCTCATCCATATTCTTCAGCACCAACATGTCGCTGTCTAGCTGCACCACCCTGTCATACTCCTCCAGCGAGAAGGGCGTCAACTTGCTCCAGCAATCGTAGAATCGCGGGTCGTTGCTGAAGTCTTTTGACACCTTTGGTAGCAAGTACTTAACATGCTGCTTTGGTATGCCGCGCTCATCAAGCGCCTTGTGGCCTTCTTCAGGAAAGGTGTCCGTGTAGAGAGCGATGAGGGGGTACTTCGAGCCGTGCTTCTTGAGCGCATAGTCGAGTGTGAGGAGGCCGGTGAGATATGCTGTGTTGGTAATAAGAGTTGTCCATACTGCACTGACATTAGCATCTGCTCTCCAAACGCGCCCAGCCAAACTTCTGCTGTACCTTTCTTCGACTTTACACCCGCCGGCTCCGTAGTCGCGCTTGAAGTTGCCTGCATGTTGCTTGTATGTAAATCACTCGAGTTGCACGCCAACAAGCTATCACGCAAGATGTGCAGTCAGTAAAAGCCGCAGTGTATTAGTTGGAGAATCAAGTCGCGCCATCTTCGGTCGCATATTATGGCGTTTGTCAATAGAGGGGTCGAGAAAGAGCCGCTAATCTATGAATGAACGATCGTACCAATCTGGACCCTGGAAAAAGCCACTAAAACGTCTTCGGAGGTCCGAATGTGCGTGCGCCGATCGCTCGTCCCTGTCAACATCGTCACCACATGCGATCGCGGACGCTATCACGTTTCCGATATGCACGTTTGACTGACCACTGCTGACTATTCCTGCGAAACTGATGGCTTGGTTGATTTCCCAACTCATCTCCATCGTTTGTATTGCTATCATCCCATGTCGTGTTGAATGCTTTTTCTTGGGCTAGAGGCATGATTCCGATATTGCATTGGAGAACAGCGACGCGACAATGGCTACCTCGGCCCTGAACCTGAAATCCGGCGACTCGAAGCCCGCGTCCACGGCGCTGATAGCTACGTCTGATGAGTCCAACAAGTCACCCAAGCACTATCGCGGCTTTGTCGCCGGTGTCTTCAGTGGCATTGCGAAGTTGTCTGGTAAAAATGCCCTTCCCAAGATATATCCCAAACATAGCTAACAAAACTAGTGGGTCACCCATTCGATACTGTAAAAGTCCGCCTACAAACGACCGAGAAATCGCATTTCCGGGGTCCGGTAGACTGTCTCATGCAGACGTTGAGGAAGGAGGGGTTTGCGGGGCTGTACAAGGGTGCTACACCGCCGCTGGTGGGATGGATGTTCATGGACTCGATGTAGGTCAATCCTCGTCTCCAGACGGCAGTCATATATTCTTATGCTAACACTGCAAAGCATGTTAGGATCTCTCAGCGTATACCGTCGCGTCCTCAACGATCGAGTCTTCAATCCCCCCTCACATCTCCGACTTGGTGAACAGCAGAGTAAGCTGCCCGTATACGGTCATGCATTAGCAGGGACCATGGCGGGATGGACAGTCTCCTTCGTTGCAGCGCCGGTCGAGCACATAAAAGCGCGCCTGCAAGTGCAATACGCAGCCGATAAGAGCGCACGCCTGTACTCCGGACCGATCGACTGCCTCAAGAAGATATACACTGGTCATGGAGTAAGAGGAGTATACCACGGTCTCAGTGCAACGCTCCTGTTCCGCACATTCTTCTGCTTCTGGTGGGGAACCTATGACCTCTTCACACGGCAGCTACAACAACATACCTCGCTCTCCGCACCAGCCGTGAATTTCTGGGCAGGAGGTTTATCAGCGCAGATATTTTGGTTGACCAGTTATCCAAGCGACGTAATCAAGCAGCGCATCATGACCGACCCGCTTGCACAGAGGAGATTCCCAAGATGGCGGGACGCCGCGAAAGCGGTCTATAGGGAGCAAGGCTGGAAGGGATATTGGCGGGGATTCGTGCCATGTTTTCTGAGAGCAATTCCGGCGAAAGCCATGGGATTGGTAGCGTTCGAGGGAGTCATGAGGAGTCTGCCAGAATAAAGTTAGGCATTCTTAGGCTTCTGTTCCTTCATGTTTTGGACTTAGCGACCTCATAACATTGTGATACCATTGTAGACAAATCTCATCTAGCAAGAATATATTCATATCTTGTCATGCATCATGACGTCGTTGTCGTAACTTTTGTCGTATCTCATAGCTTGCCTTTGTTGTCCTCAAGCTCGCAGAATGCCTTGAATGTTACCAAGCCCTCCGCACCCTCCTCGTCTCCAGCATCAACCTCGCTCTTGATGACAACTTCAGCTGTGGCACCAACAAAATAGACAAAGCCCTCCTTGAGTTCTTCCTCCTTGGGTCCCACGCTGATTGTTCCCTTGCCCTTGGTGCAGAGGATGATGCTTGGTCCATCAATCGGGTCAAACGTCGCCTTGCCACCAGTGCGATTGAGTGCCGTCCGTACTACAGCGAACTCAGGGATCGGCGGGTTGTACAGCTTGTTGCTGCTGTTGGAGCTATACGCCGGCGCATTCAGCCTAACCTGGGAATAATCCCTGGGCTCCATCTTTTGCTCACTAATTGGCGCATAGCTGTAAGTCAGCATCTTTGTCAAATTATCAACGTCCTTAAACTTTGGTGTGAAGCCCGCGCGGACCACGTTGTCGGAGCTCGCCATGCACTCGATGATGTCGCCAGAGAGGTAAGCATGGATATCGTCAGCCTTCAGGAACATGGCTTCGCCGACCTCTAGCTTGACGTAGTTGAGGAAGAACTGAACAAAAAGACCGATGTCACCAGGGAATTGAGTGTTGAGGCGGACGACGAGGTCTGCGAGCTCTTTGCCATCGTTGGAGGGTGGGCCGCCGTCCGCGAACTTGTCGCCTTCGGACTTGGCTGCCTCAACAAGCTCTTCACTGGCTGATGATAGTGCGTCCTTTTCCACGTTCATGAGCTTTGTGAAAGCGGATTGTAGGGCTTTCTTGTTCTCCCGCATGTCCTCCTCCTTGTCGGAAGTTTCCTTGCCGCTGATGGTATCCTCGAACTTCTTAGCTTCTTCTTCGCCAACAAGTTTACGCAATGAGGGAACGGTCTTCAGGAAGTGCGCGATTTCAGCGAGGGGTCGGAAGCCGCAGAGGCCATCGAAGGGAGTGACCGCGATGGTCATTTCGGGCTTGTGGTTGTCATCTAACGAGACATTAGTATTCCTGAAGGGGAACTCTGGGGTGACGCTGACCTGGGTAGTTCTTGGGATCACTGGCATGTAGCTGCTCAGCAAGCTTCTTGTTTGGGTGTGCCTGGATGCTCAGGGCCTTGTTGATGGACAGCACCTTGAACAAGAAGGGAAGCTTGTTCTCATACTTCTCGGCGATCTCTGTAGACAGCAAGGCTTGATTTTCTTGAACGAGGTCTAGAAGTGTCCGCTGGGTCTCGAGGTCTTTGGAGGGAAGCGACGGGTGTGTGCCCATCCATAGCTGGTAGTGTCAGCGACGCGTCAATTGAACATTCCGTGTTTCGCACCTCGGCATATGGCTTCTCTTCTTCAATCGAGAAATCAGAAGCCGTCGCAGCGTGGAATTTGGCGGCGGCGGAATCTTTACCGACTTTCCCTGGGTTGGTTCAGCATACCGCTGGCGCGAATGTGAGTGATGACGCGGGGCAGCGTACCCCAGTCGTAGCTGTTAACACCTGCGAGTGGTCAATTAATGTTCTCTTGCTATCTTCATTACCGCATTTACTTACCGCATTCTAGTCTGATAAGAGGGTTCCGCATCTTGAAGCCGGTTTCGGTGGATTGTGGATGTTGTGTTGTATAGCGACACCGCGATTTGGCAGAGGAGCTCTCGGCGGGGTCCACTTCTTGGTCCCGCATGAACGTCACCCTTGCTGTTCGATTAAGCTCATGGAACCAACCCCTCTTCCGTAGCTAGCGTATCCCACCCTGCATCCAGCGGAGTACATGCCCCGACGTTGATCACCTGCAGCTGTTTCTCTTTCCTCTACCTCACTTTGCTACTTCCACGCGCCAACACATGAGCTACCTGCAGCGCTTCAGGTAACACGGAAAGAGCTGGGGAGTTGACGGGCCACAACTTCCGTCAACATGGCAGCCCGCAGCAGGCCACGAGGTCAATTGAAGGAAGAGTTCGATGAAGAGAGGGTCATCTGGAACTCGATCAAAACCGATGGCCGACGCGTTGATCAACTCATGGTACGAGATTCATTTTCTTGATTATCACTGGCGTTGGAATCAACATCTCTATTTTCACCGCCATCATTTGCTCACTACAAGCGGAGTACCGTCGAATCTTCGTGACTCCGAAGGACATCTCGACCACAGCCGAGCTGATCATGAACGCCGTGCCCAAATAGACCCTGCTCTACTTTTAGTTGACTAGGCAAAGATTTGCTCCTCTACTGACATACCGCAGAAAGAGTCCGATGTCTTGCAAGAGAAGATCTCCGCTATTGTCGCAGAACAGTCTGCTCGTATCGGTCCGTCAACATCTCACCGACTGTCATGTATCGTCGTGTTGCTGACACTATTAGATCGCGGCGAGGAAACTTCAGCCCGCCTTGACGACGAACTTGAAGACCTTCTACGCGACAACATCCGTAATCTCAATGAGGCGCAAACCCTTCTGCAACCCGTCGAAGGCGGCAATGACGTCCACACCCAGATGACGCTACTGGCCGCCCTCCGCATGTCAGAAGAGGCTCCACCTTCAGCATCACGAGCCACTAGCGTTGGGCACGGGAAGTCGGGACGCGACCGCCAGGGCAAGCGAAAGCTGACCGATAGTATCGATGACCGCGACAGCATGGCTGCGGACAGTCCTGGAGGTCCTAGCCCAAAGGTCGTTATCAGCAGCCAAAAAGATCGACTGGTAGCCAAGTCGGGCAGTAGCAGAGCAGGATCAGTACCTGTTGCGAGAGAGGGCAGCGTAAAGATCGATGAAGACGATTCGGGTAAGGGTAAGATGGTTCTTCCTCCTTCCAAAACCAAGCCCACGATCAAGTACAAGACCAAGCGTTGAGCTGTACTACACTATCGGCGTTCCTTCTAGACGGCAGATGATACCCACTCTGGCAAATTTCCTTTCGGCTTGTTCGAGGTTTGTAGTCGGATAGGCAAGCTCATAATTTCACCTCATCTGATCTCATACGTCTTTTTCAAGTGCTCATGCCACATGTATTATCCTTCCTCTCATAGCGCCCGCCTCACGTTCCCGTTTATCATCCCATCTCCCTTCGAACATCACGACAGCTGACGACCATACTACAGAAGTCCGACCTCGCCTATCACCACAAACAGAGGTTCTCTACCGGAACAACGCGAAGAATCGCTCTTCTTCTTCTTCCATGTCATTCGAGGGTGAAGGCATTCTCTGCCGCGTAACGTCGGTGATCGGCGAAGGAAAGCAACGTCGGTACGAAATTATCGATGCTGATCCGGATCCTCCGACACCATCAGTACCCTACCGTGCTTCCGTAAATCATCTAATACCCATCCCGCCGCCCTCTTCCAACACCACACTGCCTGACCTTAGTAAAGGGAAGAACGTGCTCGCTCTGTACCCGGGTACCACTACCTTCTATAAGGCGGAGGTGGTAGCTGTATGGAGACAGATCGACGGCAAGGTCAAGAAAGAAGACGGGAGTAAAGAAGGAGAGCCTGTGGATAATCTCGTCAGATTGAGGTTTGAGGGTGAAGACGAGGCGGACCGTGAGATGAGTGTTGAGAGAAGGTATGTACTGCCTGATAGATGACCGGGTAGTATCGTCCATTTTTCAAAGAGCTAGATGATCTCAGTTCAGGCTGGCGATATACAAGATCTGAATACGGAAGTTTGGATAATGGTGATATGGAGGGTGTGGTTTGGAACGGACTGGTTGATACCGCGCATGTTGCATTTTTGCTTTTGAGACTTTTGCATACTGGAGTTGAGCTTTTTTTTTTTGGAACGAATACCGTCATCGGTTTAGTATCTGGAATCTACATCTTTCTTGCAAATAAATCGCGGTGTTGTCCACCTGGATAGCCAGAAGGCATTGCCAAGCCACTAGCATCAGCGTCTCGACCCTAGGATGCACGTCGCCAACTTGAAGGCTTCAAAGACTCCGCAACTTAAGTCGACGTGACCCCACACACGACACAATACGCATTCTAACCTGAAATCAAGTGTCGCGTCACTAAGAGGAACTTGGTGTGCGCCGAACATCCCACCAACAGACTCTCAATCCAATCACACACACGACTATCGACGCCTCTAACCCGCGCCGCACGCCGACTCCACCAATATCCGCAGCTATCTAATCTCCACCACCCGCACACACCGACATCGCCATGAACAACTACTCTTTCCTGGAGTCCTCCCAGCAACAGGCCGCCCAACAACAGCAGCAGCACAATCAAAACCGCCCACCACCTTCTCCTTCACACTCACAAGCGGGCAGCATAGCAGGTTCGCAAGTCAACGGCGGCGGCCAGAACGGCATTCCAATGGTCAATGGCTTGCCAAGTGGGGGCCAGCAGACGGACATGAACCATCTGTGGGCGGTGGTGCAGCAGTTGAGTCAATTACTAGAGGAGAACAAGGCGCAAACGAGGGGCATTGTGGAGGGTGTCGCTGCGATACAGGGGAGGGCTGCACAAGAAGACGGAGGCGAAGTCGGCGGTGGACTTAATCTGAGAGGTGGTGGAGGGGTGGCCATGAGGGAGGTTAATGGCGAGATAAATGGTATGTTTAGTCTGCTTGGAGACAATACAGACAACCACATCCGACTGATACCCGATAATCACACACTGACACTCCTCACAGCAGCAACGGTCGCGAATCTGCAATCACAGCTTACGGCCGCGCAATCCACAATCGCATCCTTGACCTCCACGAACTCATCGCTCTCAACCCTCCTTACCGACTACGAATCTGCCTTGACTCTTCTCCTCGATAAATTACGTCCTTATGCTTATTCTCAAACCTCAGCCATGCTCGCCCTTCACAAATACTATCAAAGCCTCCTTGACCAAGAGCGCTCAACATCCATGGGGCTGCGGCTCGAACATGCAGACTGGCAAGCGGGGTTGAGTCGCGTGGCAGAGAACGCAAGGAACGCACTACGATGCCAGAGTGAAATCGAGCAAGGCTTAAGGGGTAGATGCAAAGAGTTGGGCGAGGAGAATAGGGTGTTAAGACGTATGGTGGGGTGGGAAGAGAGGGAAAGCAGCGATGATGAGGCCGAGGACAAGGCATAAACGGATTGTTACGAGGTAATCACGGGCGGTACACGTACGGAGAGTGTTTGTTATGCATAGCGTCGGCGTTTGGGGCCTCACGAGACACCCACGGTGTTCGAGGTGGAATGCTATGGCTTGAGGTTCGCCTTTGACATATCGGCTGATGCTTGGCTTTTCATTCCAGAGACATTATTACATGTACTTGGATGTTGTCGAGGAAAGCTTGTTTGGACTCGAAGTTGGTTCGAGAGTAATCCGAATACTAATATCATGTTCAAAGTCCCATTGATTCTTGTGAAAGTCTACTAACCCCTGGTGGTAGTAGACTAACCAGTAATCTAACGGATAGAGGTCACATCCGCACGCTTCCACGGCTTGCCCAGACTCCCGTGGACGATTCCCTCGCTTACCCCAACACTACCCCAGAAATCTACCTCGGCACAGCTAGCACTCCCCCGCAGAACCCGCCTCATCACCTACACTTCGCGGCCCGTCGAAGGCCTTGGCTAACGCGATGAAGCCATTAATCTTGCTATCATGGTATAGCGTGCTGTCTGTGCAGATATGGATGCCTCGGGGCATGTTTAAACCGGTGGGTATTGGATAGACTACATGATGCAGCGCGTTGTAAATTCCCTCCTGCGACGTTCTCGTCTCAATTCAACGTCGCGATAACATTTACAAGGCGAGTGTTATACTGTAAGTTACTGCTGAGCGTACGCGTGTATCCTTGAGTGGTCATTGATGCTGATGTGGACCAGGGACCCACTCCTACTCCTTCCGACTCCGCAGGAATTCAGGAAGGGATACAGCAACAAGCTCGGTGCCCAAGGGATTAATCGGCCGAGGACCAAGAACAATAAGACCACATTTTAGGTGATTCAAAGTGCTGCGCCCTCACCAAATATTCGACAGCATTACTTCCTCCCTAGCATTCAACAAATCGAACCGCAAAGATGGTCATCAAGTCTCGCTGGTCGTTCCCTATACCTAGCGTTTCCCTACCAACGTACATCTTCGACTCTCCAACTGCAGAACTACCGAAGACTCCACTCTACCTTTCTGCAAGCGAACCCGAAAAGTACAACATTACATTGCACAGATTGCGGCACGATGCGCAACGTCTGGCTTCAGGTTTGCGACGCGCGGGTCTGCAACCAGGTGATCGCGTATTGCTGTACTCAGGAAATACGCTGTTCTTCCCAATAGTAGTCCTAGGTGTCATCATGGCAGAGGGCATTTTCACAGGTGCAAACCCGACCTACATTGCTCGAGAGCTAGCATACCAATTGAAAGACAGCGGAGCACGCTTTATGTTATGCGCAGAGGGCAGTCTGGACACGGGAATCGCAGCTGCAAAAGAAGCGGGTATGGGCGCTGAGCGCGTCTTCATCTTTGACGATGGCCTAGCGACGTTTGAGGGTCGGAAAGTGGAGAAGAGTACCGAATTGGGACATATTCGCCATTGGACTGAACTTCTCGACACCCCAGAACGCAGTAGCGCCTACTCTTGGCCCAATCTACAAACACCAGAAGAACTCGACCGAGTAGTAGCGCTCAACTACTCGTCGGGAACGACTGGTGTTGCGAAAGGCGTCATGATAACGCACAAGAACTATGTCGCAAACACCAGCCAACAACTTCACATTCAAGCCACCGCGCCGGACTACAAGGAGAAGCTGAAGAAGAAGAGGTATCTCTGCTTTCTCCCCATGTACCACGCTATGGCACAAGCCACCTTCTGCTTCGGCGCTGTCAAGCAACGCGTACCGGTCTACATGATGCCCAAGTTCGACTTCCTAGAGATGCTGCAGAATGTGCAGAAGTACCGTATTAGTGACATGGTGTTGGTGCCGCCGGTCGTAGTGGCCATGGCCAAACACCCAGCGACGAAGAAGTTTGATCTGAGTTCTGTGACTGGTGTATCGTCCGGCGCCGCTCCTCTCGGTCGAGAAATCATTCGGGAATTCGAAAGTATATGGCCGAATGGGCAAGTCAACGTTAAACAAGGCTACGGCATGACGGAGGTCACATGTGCAGCAACTATATTCCATCCTTCGATCTACTCTGATAGCTTCTCGGTTGGTGAGATTCTGGCAAACTGCGAGGCGAAGATTGTATTGGACGATGACGGCAAGGTCGAAGCGCCACAAGGCGAGAGAGGCGAGATCTGGGTTCGCGGGCCAAATATCATGAAGGGATATTGGAACAAGCCTGATGCGACGAAGGAGACTATGACAGAAGACCGATGGCTGAAGACAGGAGATGTGGCATACGTGGACAAGAACAACCACTTCTTCATTGTGGACAGGAAGAAGGAGTTGATCAAGGTGAAGGGTCTACAGGTCGCGCCAGCAGAGTTGGAGGCGCTACTGCTTGATCATCCGGACGTGCAAGATGCTGCCGTTATCGGTATTACAGCGTAAGTTTACGCGATTCTTTCAATCTCACAACCGCTAATCATAGTCAGAAACGGCGATGAACTGCCTCGCGCGTACATTGTGCCTCAGTCGCAGGAAAGTGCGACCCCAGAAACCGCGGAGAAGATCAAGAACTGGCTGGCTGAGCGCGTCTCCAGACACAAGCGGTTGGAAGGAGGCGTGAACTTCATAGATGCGATTCCGAAGAATCCGTCTGGAAAGATTATGCGAAGGCAGTTGAGAGACAAGGCTGCACTGGAAGATACTAAGGCGAAGTTGTAAATCGGATAGATTTAGCGTTCACAGCGAGGGAGGTAGATATCTAGCAAGGCAGCGAGTGAACATTCAAAATAGGCTGTCCAATTATTGAAGCTTTGTGTTCGAGTCAGCGCTGCGGTCCTCTTGGTTTCATTGCCTGTCGTTCTCCACAACACGTGGACGTCATTCGTCTGCCATGGCTCGAAATTGATGGGTCGTAGTTGTTGCTGCTTTGATATACACATGCAGCGTTATCCGCTCGTGACTGACATGACGATCTGCCATTTCCGCATAATGAAACCTAGTTGCTTCGCTGTCCGTTCTTGGCTGCCCTCAGCTCGTCCATCTTCTTTACTCGCTCCTTGAACTCGTCATATTGGCACTTTTCGTAGGAATGTCTCTCGTTCTAATACTCTGGTCAGCCGCCTGTCGTCGTCTTTTCCTTGACCGGTTCTCCGCGCGTACCTCGCACTTCCATGGTAGGTAGTACTCCTCGTACCGACACCGGTTCAAGGGGATAAGAAGATGTGCGCATGAGTCTCGGTAGGCCAGTGGTAGTTTGGCGGCGCTCATTTCCTCACGGGTAGCCTCTACATTCCCGTCAGTCTTTATTCCTCATGACCAATTGCGTCAAGATGATTGGCCCGACGTACTCCTCGGCTCGCCGTCAAGGCCGACGGCATGCTTGATGGTATCGGTGATGGTCATAGTGGCGGCCCTCGATGGTGTTCGTCTTCAATGGCGCGCGGGGGGCTGGTGGGCGGAGAGTCGTTTGCGGGCGAGCTTGCTGAGGTTCACTTGCGGTCGGCAAAGGCAAGCTGACCACCGCCGGACCCCGACGCTTGGCAGGGCAGGCGCGAACGCGGCCTTCCAACGCGACTTCCCCCAGGTCTGACGCGAACTGCAGACACGCCCTCACGAAATCACTTGACACGCCTCCCAGACGCCTTGTTACTGCTCATCGAATGGTGAAGATGCCCCCCGCGCCCGATGGCAAAATCTATTCGGCAACCTACAGTAATGTGCGTAGCAATCACCGCTTGCGACTCAAGTCTCAGCCACCACTTTGCGACAATGCACTGATAAACTGCAGGTTCCCGTCTACGAGTGCAATGTCAACGGCAACCATGTCATGCGCCGTCGTGCCGACGACTGGATCAACGCCACTCACATCCTCAAGGTAGCCGACTACGACAAGCCTGCGCGTACCCGTATCCTTGAGCGCGAAGTCCAGAAGGGCGTGCACGAGAAGGTTCAAGGTGGATATGGTAAATATCAAGGCACATGGATACCCCTCGAGGAGGGGCGACATCTGGCAGAGCGGAATGGTGTGCTGGACAAGATGCGCGCCATCTTCGACTACGTCCCCGGTGACCGGAGCCCTCCACCTGCGCCCAAGCATGCGACAGCTGCCTCAAATCGCATGAAGCCTCCAAAGCAAACCGCTGCGGCTGCTGCTGCCGCGGCCCGGAATGGTAAAAATGTCTATTCGCTTGAATCTATGCAATGTAGGAGGTCACTCTCATTGGTCATTGTTCAAGCTTTAATGCGCGAGACATGAAGCTGACTTGCATCGCAGCCTTTGTAACTACATCCGCGCAGTCTCAAGTTAGCGAAGAGCCCTATGAGGCCTCTCAGATCAGATCGCAGATCTTCCGCGAGGAGACGCCGGACAACGAGACTGTCATTTCGGAATCCATGTTGGGTGACGCCGATATGCTGGATTCTTACTCAACGGGTGGCGGCAGAAAGCGTAAGCGGGGGATTGACCAAATGTCTCTTCTGGATCAGCAACATCAAATATGGGCCGATCAGCTACTGGACTACTTCATGTTGCTAGACCACGAATCCGCCGTCTCCTGGCCCGAACCACCGCAGAGCATAAACCTCGACCGGCCGATCGATGAGAAGGGACACGCAGCTATGCACTGGGCAGCGGCGATGGGTGATGTTGGGGTAGTAAAGGAGCTGATACACCGAGGAGCACGCATCGATTGCCTGTCGAACAACCTGGAGACACCCCTAATGCGCGCCGTCATGTTCACGAACAACTTCGATAAGGAGACTATGCCCAGCATGGTCAAGATCTTCCAGCAGACGGTTCATAGGACAGACTGGTTCGGCAGTACCGTCTTCCATCACATCGCGGCGACCACCAGCAGCTCGAACAAGTACGTTTGCGCAAGATGGTATCTTGACTGCATCATCAACAAACTCTCAGAAACCTGGATACCAGAAGAGGTTACTAGGTTACTCAATGCAGCAGACCAGAACGGAGACACAGCCATCATGATTGCTGCGCGAAACGGCGCGAGGAAATGCGTGCGAAGTCTGTTGGGA